TCTATATCCTACAAACACACTATATTTCCTATACCAGCACACAATACATCTCCTATATCCATATATACTAATTCTTCAATAAACAAAAGCTACAGTTTACCATAATTATGGTTGTTTTGTTTATTTCTACTAAATTTTTTATTTAAATATATGGGTGCATCTTGTATTCTGGTGTGTGTTATAGTCAGAAAAATGTTGATTTTGTTCTTTGTTTATGCTATATATCAACAGCTAATTTTATGTGAGATTGCAACACAAGTCCCACATTTATTTTAAATATCTTTTCAAAGATTTTATTTTATCAGTAAAGAAAATTGCAGACTTAAAAGAATGGTTAAAAAGTAATCAAAATATATTCATATAGAAATACAGTTTGTAAACAGTTGTGGTACCTACCTATTAAGGTCACACATAACAGAGCATAAAATGACAAGTGAGAGAACATTATGACAAACTTACATTAAGTACCAGCAAATATATAGTTAAATAAGAGAGTGGTGAGTGAGAACTTAATCACTGTCATATCTGCGATAGAATCAGCATGACAATAGCTTGCTACTAGCACAGTCACATAGTTGGGAATGTAAGTGTGGTTTCAATAATAACTGAAACATTAATAACTTACAAAAGAAGGCATAAAAGGGTTTAAACCAGTGGTTCCCAAACTTTTTAGGTTCAAGGCGCCCTTAATATTTCAATATTTTTCCAAGGCGCACCGAGTTAAAAAAATTTCCTATCTTGTATATATGTACGGCGCAGTGGCAAATACTGGGCCTCTGTTTGGCAGAAATGCTTGCCTTTCAAGCGCAGATCCAGAACCTTATCTTGGGAGGGGTACTAGTAGATTTTTTAAAGAAACAATCCAGGCACAATAACCACTACAGCACTTTGTAGTGGTTATGATGTCAGTAGTGCCATAGTGCCATCCCAGAGTAAGTAGTCAAACAGTTTGACAACTTACCTGGGATCTGCTGGGGCTGTAATATAGGATAGGGGCAGTAGTGTATGTGAGGAGTGCATTGTGTTTATGAATCATGTAGTGTGTGTGTGTGTGTATGTGTGATGGATGTATGCAGTATGTGTGTATGCAGGGCAGTGTGTGTGTGTATGGAGGGGCAGTGTATGTGTATGGGGGGTAATGTGTGTGTATAAGGGAGTTATTGTGGGTCTGTGGGGATAGGAGGGCAGATAAATATATACTTTTATTTAAAAAATAATTATAATTATTTTGCTATACCCCCTCCCTGCATACCTTTGCCTGGGAGGGGGAAAGTACTAATCCCTGTGGTCCGGTGGAGAAGCCCTGGCGATCGTCGTGGCGACAGGGAACTCTAGGAGCCTCAGGAGCTACTGGAGTTCACTCTTACGAGATTCGGAGCGTTGCTGTGACCGCAGCAACTCTCTAAGCTCATGAGAGGAGAGCCCGGTGGAGCCCGGGTCCTCTTACCCTCCCTCCCCTGCCGGCTGCAGTATTACACTGCTAGCAGGCTGGAGAGGGAGATCTCTGATCTCCCCTCTGGTCCTGCAGAGCTGGCAGGGGAGAGGGAGGCACGGTTTCCAATGCTATCATAGCATCGGGAAAATATCTTGCGGCGCCCCTTGTCGGGGCACACAGTTTGGGAACTGCTGGTTTAAACAGTGAAGACACAAGAATTAGAAAGGGAAAATAAAAGGAACTCTTAAATATAAAATTACCCGCAATAAATAACATAGGTCGAAATCCCTAAAAGCAGAAATAGGGTGCAAGATATAGAAAAGTCCTGATTGAAAAAGCACCAGGTGGGTTATGTTGAATCCAAAGATGAGGATAGGAGTACATGCAATGGAACAGTTGGATTCTCGCGTTCTCAATTTTTGTATTGTGGTATACTGAGGTATATCCTCAACTTTAAGTGTCCATTACTGGATGTTAAAATCAGGTGTGAAGTCAGTTTCTTCAACGTTCTTAAATTAATAGAATGTGTTTTGGGGTACCACTTCATGCAGAACTTCAGAATCTCCACAATCATTATCCGTTATCTCGTGATTTACATACATGTCACACTCTTTTTCAATGAATACTAATGGCCAAGGTCAAAATAAATTCTTTCATTGTAAGGCACATCACAGGCGTCTAAGCCTCTGCTTGGCATGGGGGAATGGGACATCTTCCTTTTTAATTCTTTATCACCCCACTTTGTGGTTTTATTTTCAAGGATTGCACCACCATGAGATTAGGAGATCCTTTGCATTCAATAACCACAAATAAAAATTGAATGCAATGCAATTACATTCGATAAGGAAAAATAAACCAACCGTTTAATATAAATATCACCCTAAATCTTGAAAGAGGTTTATTAATACATGCCGTACGTATAATTAGCGTTAAGCTTATTCTTGCTTGTGTCAATAGGTTATTGGAATAATTATACTAAACAATTTTAAATCAATCATTTTAAATCATCACTTACATTTAAATTAAATATTTTTTAATGTAATGGTCTCTAGCTCCTTTTGAGAAACCTGTTACAGAAGAATAAAATAATTGCACATATTTATATTTTAGAAACAGACTTTCTGAAACTTAAAGTTTAGCATAGATTGGATTGAAATACGTTATATTAACTTTGTAAAACCTATGAAATACTGTCCCTATATACCTCTTATAGAAGTAAGTAGACGTTTATAGTGAACTACTTAAAATGGGACAATTTGATAGCTCTCAATCCAAATGCTGGTATTGCCTATTTAAAGTACATTACACAAGACAATACTGTAGGATATTCAGTTCAGCATTTTCTAGAAACTTGAAAAATGTGCTCTAGATGTCCGCATTCTAGATGACATGATGAGATTTTGGGACTCCTTTTATATTCTTTCTCCCTCAGTCCTCTTTATCTTGCTCGTGTGCTCTTATCCAGTGCCGATCCTAGGGTCACAGGCGTCTGGGTGCAGTCATTGTTTTGGTGCCCCCAGGTGGGTGTGGTCACCGTTCTAACCCCTCCCCTTTGCAACGACACCACCTCTCCATCTAGGTACATACTTACTGACAGTCACACACTGACAGAAACTTAGTCAGACAGAAACATTGACACACACTCTCAATGACAGATACACAATCTCACTGATTTGAAACACTCACTGGCAGACACAAATGCTGACAGACACACAGTGGTATACAAAATAAGGAAGTCCAGCACTCAGTGTTTTAAATCATACAAAATCACACAATTACACACACATTGCCCCATGCATACCTAGACAGTCATACACAATACAATACACACACATTCACACTGTCGTATGGACACCATAACAGTCACATACACACACACACACACTCTTTTTGTTTCACATATACACAGTCTTTGCTGTCATGAACACTGGGAGGAGGAGATGAGGCCAGGGTCCCTAGTGTTGGGGAGGCAGGTATTATAATGCAGCTGTTATCAATAACAAGATTTAATGTGTTGATGTGCTGATACTTCCCTGTAAATAAACCTATATTTGGATGAAATGCGTTGGTACCTTTGATCACTGAACAGTGGATTAGTTACAGTTATTCTACACATAACACCCAGTGCCATGAAGTCTAGTCAATACATATATTCACACAAAGAATTACACTTCTCAGATAGTGTACAATTTTGGGACCTACCCTACCACGACTCACCCTCAACACAGTCAATACTCAAAGCTTCTGATATTTTACTGGGCAATTTCACAGCATACAAAGCAAGTAACTTACTGCTTTGAGTCAACAAACAGGCTTAGTAGGGAGGTAACCACGTTATGCAATTCTTATTTCATATGTTCTCCTCTATTTTTGTTTGACATTTTTTAATGCTTCCTGCTTTGGATCTTTAGAGTGTGCTAAAGATGTCTTCCAGTCCAAGATGCTAGTGGATAATTTGTACCATCATTTTCTAAAGCTATCCAGAACTTGTTCAATGAGTCTTGCAATCAATGAAATAAGTCAAGGAAAAAGGTGAATTCTTTGGAACTACTTTTTCAATATGTAATAAGTCAATGCCATTATTTGTATTTGGAAAGCATTCTGGAAATATTGCTAACTTGAATGTTTATCAAACTACCACAAATTTAAGGATAATACAGAGCAGTGTAATAAATAAAATAAAATAAAATGCTTTGGGTAAGTTAAGAGCTATGGGTTGGAAGAAATATAGTAAGCCAAGACACACATTTATTTAAAAAAATAATTTTTGTGAGTGTACAATACGTGAGTGTACAATACATGTACAAGCACATCAGTTATATATAACCTCAATATAAAAATAGAAATCTGAATTACTTGGATTATTGAAAATGCATATTGCAGGAGGCTGTCACCCCTGTTATCAAAACAATGAAGGAAAAAATAAATAAAATGGGGGGGTCAAAATTAAAGTTCCCCTTGATTCCCAAGGTAGTTGGTATAATATCTGCAAGGAACCATGGCACAGCACAGAGGGTAGAAGAAAGAAGGTAGGAAGAGGGAAGAAGAGCTAGAAGATAAACAGCTAGATCAGGTATAGTCAGGGCCGGTGCAAGGATTTTTGGCAGCATAGGCAAGATGCATTTTGCCACCCCTCTACCCCAAAAATGCATCTTCACCGGTGTCTCGTAAACCCCTTTTTGAATTTCTTACCCCCTTTAGTGTATTGTATTAAAGTTAAAGAAGAACTGGAGGGAAACAACACAGTGTAGAGTGAAGTGAAGTATGATGTCAGCCACCTAAGTATCACCAGTGTCAGGGAGGAGTTTGGACTTCAGTTGAAGAACAAGTTTGAAGTGCTACATGAGCTGCACGAGAAAGAGGAAAGAAGCGGTGTACAGGCCAGCTGAGAACAGCCTGTCAAGAAGTGGTCGGAGCAAAGAAACATCACCACAAAGAGTGGCTTACAGCTGAGACCTTGGGAAAGATAGAAGAGAGAAAACAGAAGAAGGTGGCAGTAAACAAAAGCAGGACTAGGGCAGAAATAGCCACAGCCCAAGTGGAATACACAGAAGCCCACAGAGCAATGAAGAAGAGCATTAGGAAGGACAAGAAAGACTACATAGATGGACTGGCAGCTAAAGAAGAACAGGCAGCATACAACAGCAACATGAAACAGCTGTACGACACGACTAAGAAACTGTCTGGGAGGTACAGCAAGCCAGAACAGCCCATGAAGGGCAAGAAGGGAAAGGTCATTACATGACTAGTGCAGCAGATGAATAGATGATTTGAACACTTTGAGGAGCTCCTGACCAGACCAGCACCTCCCCATTAACTGCAGAAAGATGACTAGAGAAGAGATCAGGAAGCCCATCACCCTGATGAAGAATGGGAAGGCAGCTGGACCTGATAACATACCTGCAGAGGCCCTGAAAGCAGACCTGAAATCATCAGTGGAGATGCTGTACCCACTCTTCGAGAAGATCTGGGAGGAAGAAGAGATTCTGGAAGGAGGGTTATCTTATCAAGCTTCCAAAGAAAGGTGACCTCAGAAACTGTAACAACAACAGAGGTACCATACTCCTGTCAGTGCCAGGCAAGGTCTTCAAACGGATCCTCCTAGAGCGGATGAAGGACGTTGTCGATCCACAACTACGAGACGAACAAGCAGACTTCCGGCAGAATAAATCATGCATGGACCAGATTGCAACGCTGCGCATCATAGTCGAGCAGTACTTGGAGTGGAACTCATCACTGTACATTAACCTGGTCATCTATGAGAAGGCGTTTGACAGTGTGGATCGAGCGGTCCTATGGAAGCTCCTCTGGCATTATGGCATCCCAGCCAAGGTGGTCCACCTGATCAAGAGCTCATACAAGGGAATGGCCTGCGGAGTGATCCAGGGAGGACAGCTTATCAACAGCTTCCAGGTGAAGACTGGAGTCCGACAAGGATGCTTGTTATCCCCGTTCCTCTTCCTCATCACCATCAACTGAATCATGAAGACATCCACCAGCAAACGCAGAAATAGAATCCAGTGGACCTTGTGGAGTCAACTGGATGACTTGGACTTTGCAGATGACCTCGTACTTCTCTCCCACAGCCACAGCAGATGCAGGAGAAGATCAGTGTGTTGGCAGCTACATCAGCACAGGTTGGACTCATCATCCACAAGGAAAAGACCAAGATCATTAAGATCTTTAAGACCAACTTTAGCAACATAGAATGTGACGGCAGATAAGAACCATTCGGCCCATCTAGTCTACCCAATTTTCGAAATACTTTCATTAGTCCCTGGCCTTATCTTATAGTTAGGATAGCCTTATGCCTATCCCACGCATGCTTAAACTCCTTTACTGTGTTAACCTCTACTACTTCAGGTGGAAGGCTATTCCATGCATCCACTACCCTCTCAGTAAAGTAATACTTCCTGACATTATTTTTAAACCTTTGTCCCTCTAATTTAAGACTATGTCCTCTTGTTGTGGTAGTTTTTCTTCTTTTAAATATAGTCTCCTCCTTTACTGTGTTGATTCCCTTTATATATTTAAATGTTTCTATCATATCCCCCCTGTCTCGTCTTTCCTCCAAGCCATACATGTTAAGATCCTTTAACCTTTCCTGGTAAGTTTTATCCCGCAATCCATGAACCAGTTTAGTAGCCCTTCTCTGAACCCTCTCTAAGGTATCAATATCCTTCTGAAGATACGGTCTCCAGTACTGTGTACAATACTCCAAGTGAGGTCTCACCAGTGTTCTGTACAATGGCATGAGCACTTCCCTCTTTCTACTGCTAATACCTCTCCCTATACAACCAAGCATTCTGCTAGCATTTCCTGCTGCTCTATTACATTGTCTGCCTACCTTTAAGTCATCAGAAATAATCACCCCTAAATCCCTTTCCTCATATGTTGAGGTTAGGACTCTATCAAATATTCTGTACTCTGCCCTTGGGTTTTTACGTCCAAGATGCATTATCTTGCACTTATCCACATTAAATGTCAGTTGCCACAATTCTGACCATTTTTCTAGTTTACCTAAATCATTTGCCATTTGGCTTATCCCTTCTGGAACATCAACCCTGTTACATATCTTAGTATCATCAGCAAAAAGACATACCTTACCAGCAAGACCTTCTGCAATATCACTAATAAAAATATTAAAGAGAATGGGTCCAAGTACAGATTCCTGGTGACAAGTCCAAGCTTCAAATATATTCCATCAACATCAACCCAATCACCCTAAATGGAAGTCCCCTGGAGGAAGTACAGTTCTTCCAGGGAGTACCTCCCTGGATAGCATCATCGACCAGCAAGGTGGAAAAGATGCAGATGTCAAGGCAAGGATCGGCAAAGCAAGAGTCGCCTTCATCCAACTCAAGTACATCTGCGCTTCCAGAGAGTTAACCTTGACCACCAAGATTCAACAGTTCAACTCTAATGTGAAGTCAGTACTGCTGTACAGGGCTGAAACCTGGAGGACAACCAAAACCACCAACAGAAGACTCCAGACATTCATCAACGGCTGTCTTAGAAGGATTCACCACATTCGCTGGCCAGACACTATTCGCTGGCCAGGCACCATCAGTAACACCACCTATGGGAAAGGACCTGCCAACTTTCAGCAGAGGCAGAAATCTGGAAGAGAAGATGGGGCTGGATAGGGCATACCCTATGCAAACTGCCAACTAACATCACCAGGCAGGCTCTCAGGTGTAACCCCCAAGGAAAGAGGAAGAGAAGCCATCCAAGAAACACCTGGCGACGCGACCTCGAGGCAGATACATCACAAGGATGGGCTACACCTAGAGTCAACTAGAAAGAATGACCCAGGACAAAAGTCTCTGGAGATCTACCTTTGGCGGCCCATACCCCGGGGCTGTAGTGGGAAAGGACAAGGGCTGTAGTGGGAAAGGACAAGGATTGTAAAGGGGGGCAAGGGCTGTAGTTGAATTTTAGTGGCTCTGAATGGGGAATAGGGGCTATAGTAGTGTGTTAGGTGCTGAAGTAGGTTGATGGTAGTAAGGGGCTGTGTGTGGGGGAATGAAAGCTGTAGTGGAAGGGATGTGTAGTAGGGGAGTTAGGGGTTGCAAAAGGGTGCACATGACCTGTAGAAGTGGGGACAAGGGCTGTAGGGGGCAGTATAATGGAGGCAGGGGCTGTAGAGGGGAGGACTGAGGCAGTATAATGGAGGCAGGGGCTGTAGAGGGGGGACATGGGGCAGTATAAAGGAGGCAAAGGCTGTAGATTGGGGAGAGTGGTTGTGGGGGGGGCATGAGCAGCATGGTGGGGACAGGGGCTGTAGAGGGGGAGGACATCATCAGAGGAGGCCGGCTGACTTCACTACCCTGCTCCTGCTGTGTGCTGGCTGCAGGGAGAGCGAGGTGAGTTTAAATATCTGAGTCCCCAGCCAAAGGCAGGGGATTCGGATTTTTGCACACCCTTGCTCTGGCGCCCTAAGGCGGCTGCCTGAGCCGCCTTATGGACGCGCCGGCCCTGGGTAAAGTGGGGGAGTAGATGTAGGATAAGGGAGAGTGTGAGAGTTTGACAAACTGAGAGTTTGTTTAAGGTGGCCTAGACCAGGCAAGACCATATCTCTAGTCTAGAGATGGGGGGTCATTCAATGACCCAGTTCATCCTCTCCCCCAGAGGCCACCGATCAATCAGAGAGCCACTTAATCTAAAGCAGGGGTCCTCAAACTTTTTAAACAGGGGGCAAGTACACGGTCCCTCAGACACTGTTGGGGGCCGGACTATAAAAAATATGAACGAATTCCTATGCACACTGCACACACACGCATAAGGACATAAATACACACACACATACTGACATACATACATACATAAACAGACAGACACAGACATACACATACATACATATATATATATATATACGGACATACATACACATACATATATACACACACATACATACTGAAATACATACACACACATATATACAGATACATACATAAACAGACAGACAGACAGACATGCATACAGACATACATACACACACATACATTCTGAAATACATATACAAAAATACAGATACATACACACATACAGACATATATACAGACTGAAATACATACACATACATACATACATACATACATACACACATACTGACATACATACATACACACATAGCTAATTTTCCTTACCTATTTTTGCAGGAGGGTGGCTGTGGCTGATGGGAGTCGGCGTGGCTCCCGCGGCCTGGCTCTCTTCCCTCCCACATGGAAGGAGCTGGGAGAAAGTGACCACCACCAGTCACTTCCTCCCAGCAGTACTTGCAGCTGCAATTTTTTTTAAAGGGACCCAGTCGCACGGCCGCAGCGCTGACCGGGACCCTAAAGATCTAGGGCCCATCGGTGGTCCTGAGTGCTTGGGCCAGGTTCAGAACATGAGCGGATTTCTCCCACTCTAAGAATACAATGCCACAATGCCATATGTTGGGTGCCTACTGTCTTTTCCAAAAGGTGCAAAAAAGGAGAACGTACCTTCGATATGATTGCATTGGATAGGATTAAGGTGGAGCAGATAGACTTTCTCATCAAATAGAAGTGGGGTATCTACTAGTTGTGAAATAACTGTATAGATGGCTTTCCTTGATCTCAGGATCATATGTTAATGAAATGGGCCACTTCTCTCTCGCAACACCAACATTCTGGATCAACAGAGGAATACGTCAGTGTTAATTTCTCAGGTGTGTGGTACCAGTGGGTGAGTAATTTATATCCCGACTCATGGTAGCAGGTGCTGATAGAGGACTTCTGGGTCAGAGAGAATATCTGTTCCCATTGGGAATCATCAAGAGATTTGCAAAGGTCACGTTGCCAAAGCTTTGTATAGTATGGAGGTGAAGAGACCTCCGAGATTGCTAAATGAAGGATACATTTTTATGATACACTGTGTTGCAGGCAGGGCCGGACTGGGAATGAAAAGCAGCCCTGTAAAATAATTCTATACCAGCCCAATAATGCATCGCGCCATAGAAAGAAAGCACTCATAGGGCTTCAAAATAAACAAAAAAGCAGATTTGTTGTAAGCAGACGAGCATTTGCATATAATAAATGTTTCAGTCCAACTACCTTGACATATTAAGTAAAGTTTTGTAATTGGACTGAAATTGTGAATGTATGCTATTGCACCACAATAAAAAAAAGATGTTATCTTGCTTATTTTGAAGTAACAAGATTGTGCTCTTCTCTTTGGCTGACAACTGGATGAACGGGATTTAATTCCCACAGGAAAGCATTGGGAGGCTAGAGCTCATACTTGATGCCTTAGACAACCACCAACGCTATATAGGGAAGTGGTTCCTTTAGATCAGGGGTCCTCAAACTATGGCCCGCGGGCCGAATCCGGCCCGACAGTGTCCTGAACCTGGCCCAAGCACTCAGGTCCACCGATGGGCCCTAGATCTTTAGAGGCCCGGTCAGCGCTGCGGCCGTGCGACCGGGCCCCTTTAAAAAAAATCGCAGCTGCAAGTACTGCTGGGAGGAAGTGACAGCTGGTGGTCACTTCCTCCCAGCTCCTACCACGTGGGAGGGAAGAGAGCCAGGCTGTGGGAGCCACGCCGACTCCCATCAGCCACAGCCACCCTCCTGCAAAAATAGGTAAGGAAAATTAGCTATGTGTGTATGTATGTATGTCAGTATGTGTGTATGTATGTATGTCAGTATGTGTGTCTGCCTGTGTGTATGTATGTATCTGCATGTATGTGTATGTATTTCAGTCTGTATATATGTCTGTGTGTATGTATGTATCTGTATTTTTGTATATGTATTTCATTATGTATGTGTGTGTATGTATGCCTGTATGTGTATGTATGTGTGGCAAAACGCTGCGCTTCATCGCACCAATCAGCATCTCCTACGGGGAGCATTCAGCACCTCCATGCAGAGCGTAGAGATGCTCAACTAGGCAGCAATGCAGCAATGGACTAGGCAGCAATGTAAACACTACCTTTTCTCTGAAAAGGTAGAATT